AAAACCTACAATGCACTTTGGGAATGGCGACCCCTCAAGAACACCGGTCTCAAAAAGTGACCGCCAATGCGGTCGTTGCCTAACTATTACAGAACGCGAAATTCAGACAGAGAAGAAAATTGAGCAGCAGACTCGTCGAGAACTGAAAAAAAAACACCGCAGTGCCATCACCAACCTCGAAGATCTCCGCCCTCTACACACGGGACGAAATTGATGCCGGACTCGGTGAAACCAAAAGTAGAAAAGCTGCAGGACTTTGTAGAATTATCTCAAAGTTTCTAGAACATCTGGGACTACTGCACTGTTCTTTAAAATCTATTACACAAGAGATATATCGGCAGTCCGGAAGATGGCAAAAATGGTTGGTTCCTTCAAACCCGGGAAGCCGCTTAATGAAGCGTCAAATTACAGGCCAATTTCACTACTCAGCGCAGCATACAAGTTGCTGGAGCTGATGCTGTTGACATGTATAACGTCTATCATGGAGCCAGTATAGCCACAAGAGCAGGCAGGCTTCCAGTCGGGAAGGAGTTGCACCGTCCAAATAGTCGCGTTAACATTGCTAATCGAATCCGGCTTCCAAAGAAGCCAAAAGACTGCAGTCGTACTCATAGACCTCAGCTGCAGTTTCGGCACGGTGTGGAGACAGATTGTTACGGAGGTCTGCAAGGATACCAAAATGTCCTATCACTGTATGCATCTTAATATCACTGCTAAACAACTGAGGATACCTGGTGTGCTTGGGTGATCAGATAAGTTCAACCAAGACAGAAAATGATGGATTGCTGCAAGGCTCCGTCTTGGCACTCTTACTTGTCAGCACTTACACAAACTACATGCCATCAACATCAGCCAGAAAGTTTGCCTATGCGAACGATATGGCATTTGCCCTACAAGAGAAAAGTCTCGACCAACTCAGCCCAACCTTAACCGTCTACCTGTAGACAATGGAAAAATACTATCAACACTGGCGTCACCGCCCCAACGCTTCGAAATCAATGCCGTCGTCTTTCATCTCAACAATTGCCTGGCAAAAGCTACCCTCGAAGTGTCTTTCTGTGGCGATCGAGTCAGAAACGAGGCCAATCCAAAATATTTAGTAATAACTTTGAACCATAGTCCCACGTTCCGAGAATCCCTCCGAGATCTGTGTCAAGACTAAAACTCAGAACAACATCGCTCAAAAACAGACCGGAACAAGCTGGGGATCTGATGCTCACATCCTGCGAACAGCAGCCCTTGATACTGTATATCCTACAGCAGAGCACTGTGCAGCTGCGCGAATCCAAACCAGTCATGCAAGGAACCTCGACGCCATCTTTAATAACACCATGAGGGTGATAACAAGAACTTCCCACAACACCCCACTACCATGGTTACCGGTACTCTCAACATACCTCCATCCGAGATTAAGGAGGTGCAAAAGTTGCCTTAGAGGTCAACGCAAAATCCAGGATGAATCATGCTCGACTGTTCAACAAGATCTCAAGAATGACCCAACGGCAAGATTCAGATCACTAAAACCATTCTGACAAGCTAACAATGACTTGACGACACCATCTTCTACGCCAGTGACGAGTAGCAGAAAGTCTGGCAGAACCCTAATGTGCCAGACAAACACCTATCGACGATCCGACAAAAGTTCTGCACGAATTTCACTTGGCCTGTAAACAACGGGCAACTTTTAGCAGGATTCACATGACCTATGCCAGGGCTGAGCACCGCCTGCGCAAATGACGCTACAAAGAAACCCCATCGACTGCGGATGCAGTCTGCGATATCATCAACCACTGCGAATCAAGAAAATTAGAAAAAAGCATAGGCTTTTTACATGCACATGAAATCGATTCCATCGCATGGCTATCCAAATTAGATCTCGATTTATTGCCGTTGCTGCCATACGCAAGAAGAAGAATGTCAGCTTAGCTTCCATGATCATGTCGTTATTTTGGTTGAATTTGAATACTTTGTCATTGATTGCTTCATTCAGTACACCTCCAACGCCACTTCTTCATCTTGATGGTTCACAGTAACTGGGTTTATAGCCTAGTCCAATCTCTTTCGACCTTTAACATTTCAGTTTCGTCTCCTGGCTGCAGGCGTTTGAACTTTTCTTCTCTTAAGAACTTTCTCTGGCTCCATGCCATTATACGTCATTGTTCAAGTGTTCAAAGTGGCATTTCGCATTTTCTCGGTTCGTTTTCTGCATCACTATCTCTACTCCCGTCGTTGCACGAACTGATTCACCTGCGCATTTCTCACAGCTGTCTGGATTTGCTCTTGTGCGTCGCCTGTGTGCTCTTGTAGAACGCCCTAACATTCAATTGAGGTAGGATGACTCATCCTATTTGATTTTGGCATAGGTACGGCAGCCTGCTAAACGCCAACCCGTAACTGGGAACCGGCAACGACTTGTTGGGGCTTACAGCATGCTTATTTAATGATGGCGTGCATTCGACATGTCACCACCGTGCTGTCATTAGGCCTTACGACATTTTCTAGAACCAATTTTGTCAACTGCTCGTCACATCCTCGTAATCACATTTCCAGCGACTACCTATTCGCCAGGCTCTTTACTTATTTCGCAGCTAAACCTCATGTATGACTGACTTCAAAACATCCGCAACCAGCGGAAGTGTTAGGCAACATACAATCTTTCCTCGACATAATCATCGGGCCGATCCGAAAACCATTTAAACAATGAAGGTAACAGGAAAGTTTGTAACTTTCGGAATGTCCACTTTCTATAGATTTCTATAGATTGGGCATTCTGGTGCTCTTATTTTGTTGAAGTTAATGGTGGGCACTGATCTGTATTTTCACCTCATAAGTCAGGTGTGCGTTATGTTTTTAAATGTTGTGTCGACAGCGGCTATGTGACACTGGCAGTCTTCT